TGTGTGTCTTTGCTCCAGCATTCCCAAATAACCAAACACCATCTCTGGGTACACATGGGTGACCAAACCAGGGATGTACCACACTGCAGAGAGTTAGGTGGTTTTACTACTACTTTGCTTTATGAACTTTGTTACTGGGAGCTATAAACTGCAAACTCTCAGTGTTATCTTAGTGCAAGAAGCTGCTGGGTGTGACTGAGATGCTCTTTGGAAGCCAGTCCCAAAGCAGCCCCCAAGACCAGATCTGCTGCAAATTCATTTTTATTGTTGGAGTATATATGATTTTATGTGCTGAGGGAAGACAGAATAGTCTATTTGTGGCCTCTCCTGGGCAGGTCATTAAGATCAATGTTCTTTAAGAGCATAGATGTTGCTTCTGTTTATCCCAAGTCCCTGTGCTCATTCAACAAAAGTATATGTTGACATTTAGGCCAGAGACCTGCACAACACTATCTACTGTGCTGCTTGTTTTTCTTTACATAAGAAAAAATCCTGATTAATTTACTTTTGTGTTAGTTTAGTAATTCAGCTAACTGTCTTTAAATATTGGGATTAAACCTACATGATTCCTGAGCCATTAGAATTCCTTTTCTCCTAAAGGAAGAAATCCTTGATGGAGAATCCCCTGAAGGCTGGAGGCAATAAGCCCCCCACAACCATAGATACCCAGATGCCCTTAGAAGTGGAATAATATGATACCCACATATAATAAAAGGTCTCCATGATGCAGCAGTCAGTTCTGACTTTTTTAGAGCTAACTAATACGTGAAGCAATTATATTGCTTGTATACTGAAAGTTTTGTAACTTTTGTCTCATTGACCTAGCAGGATGTTGTTTAACAGCTTATTCTTATTATTTTTATTTTCATCTCTTTTTAATTTAATGTACATATTTTTTATTCAAAAGAAAAAGCCTCCTACAAAACCTCACATCAGTATCCCTTCTAAATGGTTGCAAATTGCATTTATTGTAATGAACCCACTCTGAACACACTGCTCTCTGTGTATACTTTTTGGAATATTAACAAGGTTTCATTGTTTGAATTATTCAGGTTACTTGGGGGTATAAATGCAGCCAGTCCTGTGGCTGATGAGCATTCTCTTATAAAGCTGTATGTAAATCAGCTTCACAACAATTCACGGTCAGTATGAGAGCACTAACCCACTAATTGCTGTAGTTCTGTAGCTCATGCACTAAATCGTTAGTCATTCTGCTAAACTACTAAAGATATTCTTTAAAGAAGGCTCTGGTGGTCTAGAGGGTTTCTGTGGCTCTAATTAGTCTTTTGAATAGACTTCCTGCTGGCCGTGGGCTTTGCCAACTGCTCTTGCTACTGCCCTGCACAAACCTTTCATTTCACCCTTTCACGTAGGATTCATATGAATGTATCTAGTGCAAGTTGGAAACATCTTTTTTGAAAACCAAAAAAACTACACTGTTATGGTTTCATCATCAGTGTGTGACTTGCCTGCTGTGTTCTTGAACGAGGAATGAGAGAGGCTTGCACAAGAGCCTGGAAGCTACTCCAGGTCTCCCAGCCAGCCTCCTCTTCCGTGGATCTCGCTGCTGGTGTTACAGTTCTGCAGTTGGTGCCACATGCTGACAGCCTTCCCCAGCCTCCTTTGCTGGGCTTTTCAAAATGACCACAGAAAAGATTCATCCAAATCCTACTGAAGCTAAGGAAGGCTTCCCATTTACATCCCTCTCATCTTAGTGACCTGAAGGAAGAGGCTGTTTCATTCTGCATAAAAGAAATACGCAGTTGGATAAGAACAGTTTCCCCATCATTTTTTTACTGTGGAGTGTAATGACCTTTTTATCTCTTTTGTTTAATCCGTGCTATAATTCAGTAAGAAAGTACTGAGACCAAGGTACTTTTCTGCTAAATGCCAAGTTTTTAAATCTGTGTGAGACTAATAACAGTATCTTCATTCATTCATTTAGGTTTTACTATTATCATTGCCCTGGGAAAATCAGGCCTCATTAGTAGAAGCCCATCCTCTTGTACATCAGAGACACAGACCTTGACAGCTCTGTTTGCAATTGTGTTGATTTTATATTAAATTCACCATGATTCATATTATAATAAAAATTGTACAAACTCAGGGTAAAATTTCTGGCTGAACATAATCAACACTAAAAGCTCTGCTGGCTGTGTTTTCACTGCAGATAACTTATGGTTACTTTAATTTGTGCTGCCGTCTAATCCAGAGGTTTCAGATAGCTTTGAAGAAAGTTTTAATGTAATTAGAATGTTTATGCAAAGGAGAATGGGCACAGACTGTGATTTGTAGTGTTCACGTGGTATTTATTTCAGCTAGTTGTGTTAACACAGGAACATAACCATTCTCAACCAGTTTATCCGTGTAACAGCAAATGCTGAATTCAGTACATCAACTCATTCTGCTGCTGGAAATGGATCTTGAATTAATGTTTTCTTGCTTATTTGGATTCTTTTGTTCCCCACCTGCAGTATGCCAGTGCTGCCTTAAAGTATATAGCTCCTATCGTAATGGATATAATCTCCTTCTTAATAAATGTCATCTTTAAGCTATCAAATTATAGGGCTATGGTGGGATGAGATGAAATAGAACAGTTTTTTCTTTATTTCTTCTCAGCCCCCACCCTCACAGCTAATACATTTTGTTCTTCTAAAGGAGTAATAAACTGGAATAAATGGAGTCATAACAGCAAGATCTGCTAGGCTGGAAATTACTTGGCAGTTCTATGGTAGATAGAAGGAATGCATTATGATATCAAATGCCCATAACCAAGGAGAAATTAAGTCTTATTTAACACTGAGTCAGAGTGTTGGTGCGTCTTTGAACTCCACATAACACCTAAAAATAACTGGATATTCTACCTGGGCATAGCAAGAGATTAGGCAAAATTTCTGGACAACAGCTGACTTTGGAGCAAAACTTCCTGGTTGCTGCTGTTGTCCATGTTTCTATGTCAAAGGGGTGTAGTAGACTTGAACTACACATTGCCTTCATATGTTATTTTCAGAAGAAGATGAGAATCCTTATTTCATCAGCAATTTTCTACCTACTAAAAGAAATGTTTGTAGGTCTGATTGTTTAGTAGTTGGGTACACACTAAAGAAGGTATAATGTTTACCCCCATGTTGTTAATTCTACATCTTTGTAGACATTTGGTCAGAGTTGGAGGTTTTGTCTCTTAATTTGGATGGTGAAGCATTTCATTTTAACAGGAGTTTGTCTTAACAGTTGGTAGCACCCAGAGAAACTCGCTGTGGCCAAACCAATCTCTGAAATATTAGAAGTATTTTGAGGAATGTGAGGGGAATGTAGGAAGATGTGGAAGAACAAGGACAAATGTCAGCTCTTCCAAATGAAGACAGGTTGAAGGTGGACGAAGGGACCAAGATGGAAAGGGTTATATAAGAGACAGCCTAGCATTGGTATCCAAAGATACTGAAATAACAAAAGAATTGGTGAACACCTAGAGGATAATAAACCAATGACAAATAATCAAGATGGATTTGTGAAGAACAAATTATGTCACACCAAACTAATTTATTTAATTGACAGGATAACTGGTCCAGTGGGTAAAAAGTATATATTACAGGTTGATCTTAAAAGGGCTTTTGACATAGTCCTGTATGACACAAAGATATGAACTAGGGGAAATAAGTGTAAGAGCAACAGTGAAAATCAGTAATTACATTTTCAAAAGTTTGCTTGTCATTCTAGGAAGGGGGCCATATCAGCTGGCATTCTTGAAGGCTGTTTTAAGTCTTCAAAACTTAAGCACTAGTTCCTGTAATGACCTGGTGGGACTGATAGAGTGAGTGTATGCAATTTATAGATGGTGCAAAGGTTGAACTAGTTATGGGAAGGAGTGACTGCTTGGAGAGCAGTTTCTAAATTAAAAAATGAGATCAGTTGCAATGGTAGTAATTGATGTCCAAATGATCTGAAATCAGTTAGAGGAAACTCAGTAATTATAAGTGAAATGTGCTGTAGCAAGGAAGCACATAATCAAATAAAAGATGGAGCATAATTGGATCGACAGAAATATTTTAACAGAGGACCTAGCAGTTACAGTGAACCACAAACTAATTGCAGCCAGCAGTATAATTGTTAGATTGCATCTGACCCTGGGACTTCATGTGGAAAGCCATTAAAACTTGTTCCCTGGAGGACACATCTGCCTGGAGGTTTGCGCTCAGTGTAGGGCAACAGCACAGGGGCAGATATGCTAACCAGTATGACAGAGTCCCAAGAAGACACACAAACATCAGAAAAGCTTAGAAAACATAATTTAGAAGAAGAGTTTGGAGGAAACATGTTTGTTTAATCAGCTAAGAAGGAAATGGACACTGATAGACGTATCAATTGCTCCATGAGAAACCCGTTCTTGTGTGTCCCCTCCACCCTAACTGTGTTGCTTCTGGAGAACAGGAGAGGAGAACCTATGGTTGGTATAGGGGGCATCACACTACACTGTTAAAAAGCAACACAAAAAATCTGTCCTGGGGTCTTTGGTCTCTTGTTGTGGTATTCCTTCAAGAACCAAAAGTTGCCTTTTTCGGCTGAAATGGCATGCCCTGTACCACTTGAATGCATTTTCCTTCTGTAACTGGGAAGAAAACATGGGTGGAAAATGTATCCTCCTAGGTGGCATGGAGCATGTTTATCTGTATGGGTATTGCCTTTGTAGAAGCACAACACGTTAGTAGCATGCTGATGGGCAGAGAAATGTGAAGCAAGCATTTTTTCTTGCCGTGCAGCACAGTATTTCATTCAGCTGTCTTCCAGATTTATTATAAATCAATAGGGCTTTTGTTTTAGGACACCCTTTGGTGCCATCCTTTTCAGAACCCACTTCCAAAAGGAGGACCATGACACAGACTTCATCTTACTGAATTCCTTCTTTGCCCTAATATTAAAGGTTTTGATCTTCAGTCCATCCGTGCCACATCTGCTCAGATTAATCATGCATCACATTTGTGCATCATCTGCCTGTACACACACACCCCTGGATGCACAGGTGCATGCATGCTCATGCATCCATCTTTTGGTTAAAGACATTTACAGTATCAGGAGGCAAAAAAAAAAAAAAAATAATAATAATAATTTTTAAAAATAAGAAAGTAAAATATATTTTTTGTTTCCTTTGTTATTTTTTAAACCAAAAATACTGCAGCATGAAAGAATAACTGATGTTTAAATATCTCCATTTTTAGCCAGTTTTGTCTTAAGAAATTATTAACATGGATATTTCATCACTGGGAAAGATGCAGTTACTGCAATCCATTAAATACTGTAGTCAGGAAAGACCAAAAAAAAAGTGGGTTTTATAAACTTTTTTTTATTGAAAATCATCATCAGAACAGCACTCCCCAAAATTAGTCTGCTGTATCACATCACTCGATCTAAATAAGCATAACTCCATAGATTATTGAAAACATCCTATGGCAGTTAAACTAATGATGAAGCTTTCCCAGCTTGAAAGTTGCATTTAAGGGTGATGTTTATCTCAGACTCCACCTGGAAACAACACAAGCCTCCAGCTCTCTATTTGTGAGAGAAGCACATTTTGTTTGTCTTTTCTGTAGTGCTTATAGTTTCTATAGGATTTATAGTTTGATTTTGGAGAAGAGGAGGGAAAACTCAAATTCCTGCCACTGCATTTCCTGAAGTTTTCTACACTTTCTTTAAAGCTTCTACTGTAATTTTTATTCAGTCTGAGGCACTTGAATGAGTTTCTCCAAACTCTGTTCTGTAATTAATTTCAGACATCACTGTTGACCCTCTTCTTAGTTTTCCTGTCTTATTAACTAGCTCTCCTTCCAAGAATACTGAAGTAGAGCAGAGCAAACTGCTGGCTAGGGCTGCTCCAGCTTTCTTGAAAGGCAAAGGGTAAGTTAAAGAGAGAGTATGTTTGTAGCTTGCACTAACACAGCTAAACCAAAACTTTTTCCTCTCTTCCTTCCACTTTGAATGTATTCTATAAACATCTTTTGTGAGGAAATTTTTATAACCAATTAACCCAGTGAGCTAAGCAGGGCATGTTTAAATATTTTTCTGTACATCTGGATGTGTGAGGTCTTGATCAGACACTTCCAAGCAAATCCAGCTTGTGATTTCAGTATGTTAATCATGTGTGTAACATATGTATATTTTATGTAGTTGTGCAATGCATAGTATATTAAAAGAAATAGTGTTAGCCTCACAATCTGCTGTATCTTGAAATAAATGGTGCTGTACAGCTCCAGTCCCTGGGCTGAATCTGGCAGCTCAGTAATTTCCAAGGCTCTCTCTAATCAAGTCCATTAAATACTCTAATGCTAATCCATTAAATACTTAACATAAACATTTCAATAATAACAAAATTATTTCTGTCTTCGGTTTTGAATTATTATTTTTTTCCTAAGAACACTGAAGTATTGGTTCCTGAATTCCCATTTCACGGTCTCACTTGCTCCTGCTTTCTCTGTTTATTTCCCTCTGTCTGTCTGGACCTGTCCCCCTCTCTTCCCAACCCCGTTCCAGGTTACAGTACAGCCTCGATGTTGCAGACAGGCTGGCTGATGAACATGTTCTCATCGGGTTGTATGTCAACATGCTGCAGAGCAACCCGGCACGGTTAGTGCAGGTTTGGCACCTTTGGGGAACCCAGGACAGGGATTGTTGGTCAGCCAGGTGCTCTCACTGCTTCCTCCTGGCTACCTGCTGAAGCAGCTCTTTATGGGCACTAACCTAAAGGGGATGCATACGAACATGGGGTGTGTCCTCCCAGAGCTGGGGGATGATGGCACTTGCTGTCATGCTCTGTAGTGGTGCTGAGTAGCAAGGGATTGCAAATAACTGCTTGGCTAAGAACAGCTGTACAAATTGATGGGAATACCATGCTTTAGTCAGTGCAGGATTTGGGAATGGTACAGAAATCTTCATGCAACGATGACTAACAAGTCCACGTTTTCAAGGTAGTAATTTTGAGGTGATCCGTAATTTATACCTTCGCTTTACCTTGGCAGTAAGGAATGGTAGTGGTATGTAAGCAATGGCAATAGTAATAATAGGGATTTGCTCATTAACCTAGCAAAGGAAGACATTCATTTCAGTTTTAACATACATCAGTCTTTTTTTTTAAAATCTACCTGATTTCTGCGTTGTTCTAATCTTGAATATAAATTTGTCCTTTTGTTCAGATTCAAGTATGCCCATTTTTTAAGTTGGTGTCTTGAACGTAGTTTTGTTATTTCTGCTGGAGTGAATACAGAGCTTTGTCTCCTAAACCCACCTGCTGTCCTAGCACTTCTGGATGGTGACACCACATCATATCACTCCAGGGAGCAGGAACACTGGCTCTGGCTCACCTCTCCAAGTGCAACAGAACTCTAGACTTTCCAGCCCTGTTCCAGCAATGTGGTGAGCAGAGCAGTATATGGCCCTAGAAAATATGGTGCTGAACAGAAAACTGTTGAGTGTTTCTAAAAAAGCTGTGCTCATGATGTTTCTTTTGCTTCCAACAAACCCTTCAGTTTCCCATGCTGTTATTGCAGAGCATTTCCCAGGTTAAGAGAGACTCTCCATTTAGTCTTATATGTAGAGAAGGCAATAAACTTCATTTGGAAGGGAGAATGCAATGGTTCTCTGCAGTCTTACAAAATTCACTTCTGTGTGTAGCTCCAATGGAAAATGGGGGTGATTTGCCATGCCTGGTAGAAAAAAGTCTGCCTGCATTGTCCTGGACCCACTTCTCTACTCTGTAGCCCACTGGAATGTGCAAGGCAAAAGGCAAACTAATTTTGAGGAAAATGAAAACCATTTCTTCAAAACAAAAACATTTTTAAGGGGAATTTAGTTTTGGAGAAGCCCTTCCAGAAAGCAGGCTTACTGAGTAGAAATTTTACACTGTGGCTGTGAAAAGAGGCTGTTGGGGCATGAGTGTAGACCAGTCATTGCCCGTCTGTGATTGAAGACAGGAGTAGACTACCACTCAATCTCATTGAAGAAGGAGAAGGAAATATGTGATTGACTTGATTCAGTTGTTCAGGAGACAAACAAAGAACGGACATGGCATAGAGTAAATTCTGGTGCTAGGCTGGTGTGTCAGGCATGGCATTTTGGATGCTGTGTCTGTGATTCATTTAGCTTCACTGAGGACCACCACTTTGTTCCACTTGAGAATGCTTGCTTGGCTTCATCTTTACCGTCTTCATCCTCTAGATTTTGTCCAGTGTATGCCAACCTGTTCCTTCAAGCTTCTGAGCCAACCTCACCAACTCATAGTAGTTATATTCAAGTATGCACATGGAAATCATGTGCCATAACATCCTTCAAATTTAATTTTGAGGGATGAATGGAGAGTGACTGATAATGGCCTTAGTTGTTTAAATAACTGATGCAAAGCCTAGTACATAACATCTGATTACTGACATTAAATCACTGCAGTCACAGCATCCTCAGTGAGAAACAATCTCAGTAATTTATGTAAGATACCAATTAAAATTTGACAGAAATGTAACTGAGAGGGACAGCAGTTTTAGTCACACATCACACCAGGCTGTATTGCTATTTTCTGCTTTGTAGCAGTGAGACTGATAGTACAGAAAGTGAATGGTTGTAGTTAGATAAATACAAGAAGAAGAAAGTGTTACTATCCTGGAGCTCCTGTATGAAGCCAGTTTCCAGAGGAGGAGGTAAGTGAGGCCTCTGCAATAGGCTCAGCTGCTGCATCTCATGTAGCCTCGAATGGCTTCTTGAGAAAATGTCCCAAAATCACTGGACACACTTTGCACAAAACCCACACAGCTGTGTCAGGACAGTGCTGTGTTCCAGTTATTTCACCCTGCAACTTAATGATATTTGGTAACCCAAGTAAATTGTGTTGTTAACCATAACCAGGTAGCTTCTGATTTAGGGGAGGCTGCGGCTGGCCAGCTCAGCTCTTGTGTCTGCCTGTGAATTCTCACGTGGACATACCCATATGTGCTGCTGGCAGCCAGAGCTTAAAAGAGGAGTGATTGTAGCTGGACCTTCACCTGCAACACAAACCTGCAGAAATACTTTGTGAGCCAAAACAAGGGGGTTTGTTAGATACTGAGTCAGGCTCATTTATAGTCCTAATGATCAGTATAGTCCAGTATACCTTTTCCTCTATTTCAGGTGTAACTAGTATTTGTATTTTGTGTGGTTTCAATTAATTTAATTAATTTTCACTGCTTATATTTTATTTTTCATCTGCAGTTACTTGATACCACAACTAGAAGTACTAGTTTTCCTTTCCATCCCTCACAGGCAAATAAGCTACTCGAGGGTTTTTTATAATCCAGTACTCCAGGGCACATTAAGAAATAAGAGAAATAATTAATTCATTACTTACAGTAACTGTATGGGTAGAAAAAGTATCCTTTAGTCAGATGTTTTGGTTAGCTTAATTATAACATGCATTTTATCATGTGAAACCGATACTTGATATTTAATTTAGTTCATCTTCAGTTTCTGATTCTACATAAGAACTTATAACTGCAAATACTTTTCCTTTTTGTTCAAATAAGTTAGAAACTTTTTCTAGTTTTGAATAATAATGCCACATATTTCAGTCTCAGGATGCAGTAGAAAATAAGATGTATTATAAGTAGGAGGTTATTTTAATTCCATACAAAGTTATTTTCTGATTTTTTTTTAATGTTCTGTGGCATAGTACTGTGGCAAGTCATATTTCTGTAGAATGGTATTCTATGGCATTTTAAAAATGTTTATTAAGGGGTTGTGCACAACAACTAACTCTAGCTAGGAAGGCTGGTCTAATCTTCCCTTGAAACAGCAAAAACATTCAGAGACCCACTGATAGAGGAAACGTATAGACACTTGGTTCCCTTGAGTTAGCCCACATACCCAAGGGTTATTAACATTTTGATGGTAAAATCTTGGTGATCCTGAAGTAAATGGCAGATTAAGAATAGCAAAAGGCTCAGATGATGTATCTCAGTTTAAAGTCCCTTAAAACCAGGACAATATTGAAGGTTTCACCGGTAAACAATCTTCGGGATACATTTGGTGGGTTGCTGTTAGGACATTGTTCTTACAGCCCTGAGGCTTAGAAACCTACCCTTTAATTTGTCAGTGTTTTCTGTGATAAATTATTTCTTAAGTGACAGTTTGTCGAAAAACAGCATATCATGAAGACAATACAGACACCTCTACTGCAAAAACTTCATGAGAGATTGGCATTTCTGAGACTTTTCTAATGAGTGGTGACATAATTGTAAAACTATCAGAGGACATCCATATCATCTGTCGCAGGGTGCCTAGTGCAGAACAGACAGAGTTGACACATACAAAGCCTGAGAAATAGCAAAGATCCTCCAGTGTCATTCCTTTATTCACAGGCTATGATATTTTTCATCCTTTGCCTGCCATTTTGAGATCTCTTCTGTATGGATCTCCTTTAGACCACAGAATATTACACAGAATCAGCTAAAGCCTGAAAAAGAAGTCCTGAAAGAAGTACTTTACATCTGAATCATAGTAATTCTGCCACACCCAGTTATTTCTAATAATTGTAAAGTCTTTAAAGAAATGGTCAGTAATGGAGAAGCAGTGTTAAAGCATTGTTTTAGAGAAGAATGATCAGCAGCAGGATATTTGTATGCAAAATGTTCAGTTTCTTCCAAAGGATGCCTGAATCATTCTCTTGAGAGTCCCAAATTCTGCACACATATTCATAATATTTAAAACTTGTGTGTATTTCACTGCATCGTTGTCCATGAAGTTGCTGAAGTAAAACAGAAGTGAATTATGGTGAATCAGAACTCTTGGGACATAAAAATCTTGGCAGTTGATGCTAATGCTGCTGCACATACATCTGTGCTTAATGATCGCATAGAACAGGTATATTTCAGAATTAAATTTATCTCAGACATTGAAATTTAATTAACAAAGCTTTGGGGCCAGTGATTTGTGGAATTCATAGATCAAATATGATGTGCTAATATATCTTATTTTATTACATCCACCTACACGTAAATATATATCCAAAACATTAAATAGCAAGTAAGAATAAAAAAGCTACAGTCACTTGGTTCATTCAGCAAAGTCATTGTCTCAGGGATTAACTCCCATTTCAGAACTATATTGCAGATTGTACCATGCCAACAAGTGGAACCATAATCCATTATTTTTCCAAGGTGGATAATACGGTTGCACTTTACTGTGTAAAGGAGAACTGATGCTGAATGCTTGTTCTTTTCACAGTCATATGATGGGATGTGATGTTTTAGTCATTACAGAAAAATTAAAAACGAATTATACTGTCGTTAAAGTAACTCTTGGTACCTGGTTTGCTTAATTTTATGTGTTTACAAGAGCTGCTTGCCCCTTTCTTTCCCTGGATGACAGTAAGTATGAGTATGTAAGAAGCAGACCTATATAAATTTAGAAAAATATCTTTAGTTTGGGTCCTTTCAGAAAGTAAATCAGTTATCCCATGAGCATCTGAGTAGGCACGGAATTAAGCTGTATGTGTAACAAAATAAATTAAACATAACCAAAACCAAAAAGTCAGTGTTCATGTACCACCAGAAGTCTTACAGGCTTAGCATATGCAGAACCCCTCTGGGTCTGCCTTTTCATAGCTTTACTGTTTTTCTAAAATTCATGTTTGTTGTCTCACAGGTTATTTATTGTCAGAATGGGAAAAAGATTATGTTTGTTTTTTTTCCTGTAGCTCAGCAAGCCATAGCAATTCCTCATGACTCCCAGCTTTAGTTTAATGATCAATGAATATCAACCACTACTCATCTTTCTACATCTCAGTGGACTTAATCAAGCCAACCAAAAGATGCACATTGTAGTTCCCTGAGGTACCTGAGAGTATGAACTCACTGAGAAATACTGGAGAAATGTTTCCTTTTCCCTTTAGAGATGCCAATTCTTCAAAAGCCAAACTTTTTGCACCAGTGTCATTTTTGTCTGAAAGGCATTTCAGGTTCAACATACAATTTCCGGGATAAAATAAGAGTAAGATGCCCACACCCAAAATAACCCTTGTTTCGTGCACTCTTTTGAAACATGAAGCTCATTCTCCAGCAAGCAGTTGCATGTCCTGAAGAGCCCGTTGGTAGCGAGGCCTGTGCCTGTCTCCCTTCAGGCAAAACTCCAGACGGTTGCCAAGGCATAAGAAAAGGGATCAGACTTACCTCTGTCTGGGGTAGTCTCCAGGCTGTCTTGTATTCCACACAGCAAAGCACTCTTCTCACCTCTTCTTAGGGGCTTCACTTTCTTTTCTTTTTTTATACACTAAAATTAATGCAGTGTAGGATTCTAAATCCCAAGATTATCCAAGGTCAACTAAATCCTCTTCATATTTCATTTTTTTCTCAGTTTCTTAGTTTTGGTTGTTCATTGCAAGCTTCTAGATATTTAGAAATAGTAAAGGCTCTTACTATATTCCTTTTTGCCTGCTCATCTGATTAAATAATAGACTTCATTTAAAATAAGGACAGCTGAGAGAAACATTTGCCTGTGATATTGTTAGGAAAAAAAAAACCCCAAAGTTATACAAAGTAATAAATTGCCATCTTTGAAAGAAATTCAGCATACTTGCAGTAAGTTCTTGCACTTTCTGAGTGATTTCTCTGGAGATTTTGTGCATGTGACCAAAGCAGCTGCTTTTCATAGTCAGTGCTAAGTAGACTCCTGCATCCTGACAGCAGGAGTTGGCTCCCAGTCCAAGTCTGGGATTAGCAGTACATCATTATGTGATTCCCTGAAATCTTACTCCAAAATATCTAAAAACCAAGAATAAAAGAGTCTGATTATAAATTTCTAGATCAGTGGTTCCAAACTGTGGCCCATGATGCCTCAGTAAGTGTCCTGCAAAACTATCTAAGTAGTGTTCTCTGTTGCAAACCTGACAAAGCTTCTGCGATTGGCCTCAACAAACATTGGGTTTCCCTTTAATCCTATACCCAAAGAGGAATCATTCTTCTAGGTGATACCAAGAAGGCTGAGAAGTAAAAACAAATGCTGACTGGTGGTCCTAACCAACAGCCAGCCCTCTCTGGACAGAGTGGACTGCGAGTTGCACCTTGCATGTCCCTGGCAAGGGGTTGCAGGTCGCTGCTGTTTTCCCCCAAGGGAAGGTGCTGCCTGGCCCCTGTTGCTGAGCCTTTCAGGGAAATTACCCTCCCACTTCTCCCCTTCACTCAATTAACATCTGCCATTGTTAATTTTGCTTCTAAATTCTGTTGTGAGCGCGCGTGAGTGGCCAGTGAGCCAGAGCAATGGTGATTTTTCACTGTGTATTGTTATTCTCCTGTCTCCCCTCCTTCCCCTCCACCCCTGAGCAGTGTGCTCGACAGCGCAAGTCGCCTGGATGAAGAGCATAAGCTGATCGCCAGGTATGCAGCAAGGCTGGCAGCAGAAACTTCTTCATCAGTAAGTGTTTTAATTAAAGGAAGGCACTTTCCTTCTGTCATGTTGCAGGGGCTTGGCAAGATGAGGGAAATTACGTCTGACAGTCTTAATGATTAATGGATTATTTTTCCCATATCCTTTTCATCAGATGCTCTTAGGCTTCAGTAATAACATTTTTATGCAGTCCATTTAAACCAAAGAATCCACATACTAATGCATATAATCTATATACTAATGCAGTGGTATTTAAACAATTACAGCAAAGGGAATCTGACTTCTTGAACTCAGGAAAGACTAGAAAATATTATCGGAACTAGCTTTGGTTAAAGGTTAATGATTTACTGCAGTGGAAAAATGGGGTGGTTAATCCATTTTACTCTTTAGTTCAAATATTACAGCCACTAGGGCCCTAAGTGCTGAGGATTTTAAAGAGTGATCTTCAGCAGAGAGACTGTAATGACCCCTGCATTAGCCCTGGCTCCCATTTTCATTTCAGAGCACTGATTATTCTGCTCTATGCATCCCAAGATAGAAGATGATGACAGGCTAAAACCTCACTAACTGTATTCAGGAATAAGAGAGAATGAAGCAGGAGCCTAATTGAAGTATATAAAATCTTAAATGGCACAAATAAGGTCAGCCTAGTTACTTTTTTTCCATCTCAGCACATTTGATAGAACAAGAGAGCACAAATGATGGTTAAGTGAAAAGCAGCTGGTCCAGAGTGCCCAGAAGCATATTTTCACTCTGAGATTTACACTGCGAAGTCAACTGAAAGGGTGAAATCAAGCACAGCTCTTCGTGTAAAAAGCGTGGAGTCACGTTCATCCCGAGTGCAGGCAGAGAAGATGAAGCTGCCACTCTGTGCAGGAGCTGTCATGGGAGTTTTCACACTACCTGCAGCTGCAGGGGAAGAGAGGAGTTCATGGGTGCTCCTGTTCTGCCCAGACCAAATCAATCCTTTCCACAATCCTTTCCAGACCTGTGAGAATGTTTCAAAGTTTAAGTCAACCTGTACTTGGTGGTTCTGTTTCTGAAGGATAGTAGTTCTTTATGGGAACAAGATTTCTCATTAATAGTGTCTCTGGGCAGAAACTGGTAGAAATCAGTTGTATATAACGTGTCTGTGATGTGGGGTAACTTAGGAAACAATATTTCCTTTCTGAAGGAAAATACTGAATTTCAGGGTTCTTTTGGTGAGAAACACTCAGATCACAGCAGTAGTAACTCAGCAGTGTATTTTTTAATGCCTGATTCTTTCAGGTTGAAGTAAGAAATAAAATGCTATCTTTGATAGCTGTGAAACTTTAAATGTCTTATTCAGCATTGTCATTGATTCAATGCTGAATTACAAGAATGTGAACCAAAAAAAGGATATTTGCTTACTGCTGATGAAGATGTAAAAGAGCATCGTCCAATTAAGCTGTAGTAAGCACAGGGAAATAGTTCAATTCCTAATTCATTTTATTGGGGAAAAAAGGGTTCTTGAAAGACTGGAGAAAGATTTTCTGAAATATCATCAGAATGTACAGGAAAGGTTGGCCAAATGGGCCACACAGCCAGACTGAGAACCGAGTACAACTTTCAAACTGGAAGGAAAACCATACTTCCAAGAAAAGAAGGCTTCGCTGCACTGGATACACACACACTGGATACTCCACTTCTCGTTGGAGAGAGACAGTTGGTTTTGCTTCAGAGTATTCCTTTTGTATGTAGTATCAAAATTAAGAGCTACAGTAAAGCAACTGCCGGCAGCAGTTCCGTTGCCTTTTATGATTGATTCAGAGAAAACTCCTTTAGGAAGCAATGAATGCCTGGATGATAAACACTAAGTCTTATTTACTCTAGCACTTACCCTGCTTTTAGTTGCAACGGAGCCATACTGGTATGAGCACAACATGGATGCTCTTTTTTTAGCGTACCAGGCAAGCCTGGTACTGCACTTTCTGTAAGGAGATTTCCTAGAACAGCTCTGTGTTGAACTCCTGGCTGCATGCTGGCTGTTCCTCCTTCAATGCAGCCTTCTCCTTTTTACAGCAGCAGCAGGGGCAGCAGAGAGGGGCATCTGATATCTCCTTCACCATTGATGCAAACAAGCAACAAAGGCAGCTGATTGCAGAGCTTGAAAATAAAAACCGGTAAGCACCTCCCAGGTACCTGGTTTTGTTTGGTCTCGTATGTTTTGTGTGTGTGTTTCCTGACATTTTTCACCCCCTGCTTCTGCGTAGTGTGCTTATACATGTGCATACACCTCCCCCTACAAAAAGCAGAGGGCACAAAAGGGCCTGCAAAATATGACAAAGGCTTTAAGATCCGCAGCCACCTTGTGTTTTAATGAGTGTGCTGTTCAGTGGCCTAATGCACTGTTTGCAGCTGCTGTTTGTTAAGAGTTTTTGAAAAAAGAAGCCTGTCCTGTTTCAAAACCAGATTAACTTTGAGTCGGATCCTCTGTAGCATTGTAACATGAAATTATAAAAGGATCAGTCACACTGATAATGATATGGTCCCTTGCTTTTATTTGTGAAGAAGATGATTAAAGCTCTCCAGAACACCGCCTGCCAGGGAGAGCTTTGCAGAAAGGCTTGCAGCAAGTTAAGCTGCTGATCAAATGAGACACTAGGTATGGATGTGACCGAGACTGAGAATGTCCAGGAGAAACAGGCCAGCCAGACCCAAAGAAGAGAGCTGCCTGTTTGTTATCAGCAGAGGATCTGGCCCTGGGTATCAGACTTGCCCGATGCCATGAAATGTGTGGCAGCAAAGCTCTGCTTTTGTGCCGGACAGTAAAACAGAGGCCGGCCCAGACCAGATGGTTTCCTATTCGGAACTCTGCACCGCCTTCTGTCACCGTGTAATGAACCACCAGCCCCAGTCTTCATTTGTTTTTCATAGTCCAAGGCAGCCTCCTGACCGTCTGCTGTGCAGCACTTTTTGTGAAAAAGAGAAAAAATCCACAAAGGTTTCAACCTTCTGCTGCAAAGCTCTGTACTAGCCTTTCGACAGAGCTGTGGGGCTGGCAAGCCAGCCTTAACAAGTTGCATTAAGGAGCTTCTCTATCAGTCGGTGACCACCCTCATATCTATGCTTACACTAAAATTATTTTTAAGTGTAAGGTATTTATTTCTGATACTTAAGAGGGAATATTATTTTAGTTTTTGTGAAGTTCACGCGATGCTCGGAATGTTCATGGGGAAGAAGGGAGCAGTATAATTAAGCATATTGCTATTTTACATCTACATCTGATTTTTGGGGGTCTTGAAGAAACCTTTCCCTTTGTGGTGAAATCCTAAAAGTTTATTTTAAAAATTTCCAGAGATCTGTCCCAGTGCTGAGGGCTTATTTTGTTGGTTGCAGCATGGTCATTGTATCTGTGTTGTTAAAGAGCTATATATAGTCACACTTTTTCTCTGCTTGTGATGTCCAGCAAGCTGGTTTAGTGGAAAATTACTGACTTGTAGCCTGCTGTGTATTCTCCTCCCCAAGAGAAATCCTGCAGGAGATCCAGAGGCTGCGACTTGAACATGAGCAAGCATCTCAGCCCACACCAGAGAAGGCACAGCAAAATCCCACTCTTCTTGCAGAGCTCCGGCTCCTGAGGTAAGTCTAGAGATGTAAAACCTCTGGCAATGACTTCTCAGTAAAAGGAGATAGCCTGGCTTATGGGTTTGGGGGCTTTTTTGAGTATCACAGAATCACAGAATGTTAAGGGTTGGAATGGAACTCTGAAGATCATTGAGCCCAAAACCTCCTGCCAGAGCAGGACTAGAAAACCTACAGCACATAACTCAGAAAGGCATCGAGACTGGTCTTGAAAGCCTCCAGAGAACGAGATTCCACAACCTCTCTGGGGAGCCTGTTCCTCACAGTAAAGAAATTCTTACTCCTGTTGAGGTGGAACTTCCTGTGCTCGAGTTTGAATCCACTGCCCCTCGTCCTGTCACAGGGCACAAGTGAAAAGAGCTTGTCCCTGCCTTCTTGATGCCCAGCACAATGTGTGAGTAAATGGTACAATGTGCATTTTTTTCTCCATTTCCAGTGCAGGCTGTAGTCCTAAAAGTAATTAAGCTTATGCTTTGAACAGCATTCATGAGGAATCTCACGTATTACTCATCTCCATTAAATTAAGCGTGTGCATTAGTGTTTGCAGAGTTAGGCCCTTAGGTCATTTGGAATAGGTCCTCACAGCCCTGTCCAAGTGCCATTAATTATATGGCAAAAAAAATGTTGTTCTGTCAGGACAAATGCTTCCACAAAGATTCTCCCTTCTGCTAAAGTAAATACAGAGCTATATGAAAATACAGCCAGAATTAGATTTTAAATTTGGGAAATTTCTCCCATGTGTTGAGCTCACAAGGAGAGATCACTTCTCTTCCGGGTGAAAAACCAGGCTGCAGAATGACCCTGCTTGTCACGTGGGAAGTGAGGAGTAATGTCATCTGCAGCAGCTGAAGATTTAGAAGATAATTTCTCCAATTATCTCACACAGCTGAAAACATTGATATAGATGTGTCTGCATGTTAATTAGTATGCTGTACATGAAAATAATAATTGTCGTGTATATCACACTGAAGAGAGAAAATTGTCATCAGCCCAGATTCATAGGCTCACTGGAAGTCCTGGAGTTCATGTTGTGAGAGACAGACAGAGAATCCAGTAAGAACTATTCAAAGCACTTCATGTGAATAGAGAACAGAGTGTAAACACTCTTTATTTCCAGTGAAACAATGCTAGATTAAGTTTTATCCCTCCAACAGAGCAGTTCTCTCATGAGAAGACTAAAGAACATTTTTGGCCACTTAGCTGCTCCTCACACAAGTCATATTTTAGTTGTCTGATTCATAAGCAAAGGAAATTCCTGTAAGAAATTGTGCTGATTTTTTTCTTTACAAATACTGTGTAGTTTTATTGAGTTTTCCATAGTAAAATGTTTTTCTGTTTCAATTACATTTGCTTTCCAATCTGAACACAGATTAGCTTCTTCATTTCTATGAGTGATTTAATGTGTAATTGCTTCCAGATACCTACAGCCAAGTGACATTCTGTGAGACACAGAAAACTGACCGTGATGAAAATGTGTACCATGTAGCTCCTGTGCATCAAGCCTCAAGTCTGTTTTAAGCAGATTTAGGAGATTAGCTTTCTGTGTAGTTGACAAATAAAGTTCATTATCCTTTAAAAAACCCAAACTAATTTTTGTGCAGTGTTAGAGACAGACTACTTTTTTTTCCCCTCTTTTCAATTTTGCTACACATATAAGAAGCATAATAACCTTATTTGAATTTTCTGACACAGGGTGTCCCTAGGGCAGTGATACTGAGTTCCTTGATGATTATATCCTTTCTGATTTAATGTGCAGTGTCAGAGAACAGCCTTTAATCTGTGGGTCTGTACTGCCTTGCATACCTTCTAGAGTGTTCATGATTGAAAGGCAAAAGATAGGCTTTTGATTCACTGTGGAATTTCTACACCACTTCAAACTCTGAGACACTAAAGGTGTCACGGGGCTGTTCTCATCATATGTAAAACAGCAGGACTCCAAATAGCACTGATTTGTATCAGTTCTCCCCCACAGATTTTTGGGACTTGAAGCAATTAGGGCAGTAGGGCAACTTGGATCATATAATATTAAGAAATGCTGGAATCTGTAAAGTATGTTGTGGATGCCTGTCTCAGCATCTTTTACTAGTTGCTGCAACTGAAATGAGGTTCAGAACACAGCATTCCTTCACACGACCAGTGCTGTCTTGGAGACAGGTTGGAAAGTCCATTATTTCCAAGAACTTGCTCCAGAGTACAGCTAGAAAAAAGATTAGAGGAGCAGTCTGTGCAGTGCATACTTCTTGGGTCTCTCTCCCATAGAATAAATCTAAAACGCAGCAGAAATCTGTGCAGAACCTGCCACTTTGAGTTACTTGGATAAGGTCTCTTATTTTTATTAGCAGTTTCTTAAACTCAGTTGCCTTTGTACAGTTCATAGCATTTCCAACTATTACATGCCTGGAAAAGAAAAGCCAGGGCAGACAATTTATAGAAGAAAATAGATTAATCCTCCAGAAGAGTATGTACAGCCTGTCAGTGTTACTATATGATCCTATTACATAAGTGAGAGGTAGCACACGTGAGCAATCCTGTAGAGAGAGGTCGGTGCTGTTTATATCAGAAACTGCTCATTCATAGGAAGTGCTCAAAATCAGGGTTTCCTGTTTCTCTAAATACAGGAAATGTATCTAGTCTTGTTGGCTCTGGTGCTTTTTCATTTAGGATTAAATTGTCATAATTTACAGGTAGTACAAGGCTAACAAAAGTGTTGTTGTGTTATTTGTAACACAGCACTGTATAAAATACACCACATATGTGTATTTTACAACACTAATGTTGTTAATTATATCATAGCTTCCAGGAGGCAACAATTTTATTTTGTATCTATGTGGGGACCTCTCATGTGCAAGTGCTGAACCCAGTCCTATGCAGTAGAACTGAGCAGAATCAAAACTGTTCCCACTTATGTGGCCACAAACTGCCTGTCAGATTTGGAGTGGCTCCATATTCACACTCTCACAGGACCAGCACTGGACTCCAAGTACAAAGAGCTATTTTTCAAGCAGTTGTATCTCCAATACATGATAGTCTTGCTCTTGTTTTCAGAAAAAGAAAAAAAAAAAAAGAAAAAAAAAATTATATATATAAACAAAAACAGATCACTGTTTTTCTGGCTGAATTTTCTGAACTCTCTTAGCTTCTCTCATATCTTGTTCTGTTCAGTGCCCCTGCTGTAATTTCCTGTCCTTCGGGGCATGGCTTTAATTTCTCTTGACATCTAGTGAAGTTATTGACTGGGGAGATCCAAAGACAAAAACTGCCAGGCATTCCCACAAGGGACTACAACACAAATTTGTTTGAACCTCATTTCTTCTTTGGACAAGGGTTTGTGTCAGTGTCTGTCTTTTTACTAATCACTATATTCAGTCCCGTGAATATTCCCTGATATGAGGGAACTCCATAGCTTTCGTGCAGCTCCATTTCTAAGCACTGTGCTGAATTCATACCTTGTGTTTGCTCTCCTGCAGTCTGTAGACATACACCTCATAGACAGGCTGGGGAAAGGATGCAGTTAAAAGCTGATGCTGCGAGGGGTGAGCTCTGATCAGATCTGCTTGTTTCTCAGGCAGCGGAAGGATGAGCTGGAACAGAGGATGTCTGCTCTCCAGGAAAGCCGGAGGGAGCTTATGGTTCAGTTAGAAGGCCTCATGAAACTGCTAAAGGTAAGGAGCTGCACCTGATACTACCAGAGTGAAGCGAAAGAGGAGAGGGAGGAGACTTGACCACAGAATTCTGCAGTTACTGTTTCTACCCATAAGTCTTGGCTTTGACTCCTTCCCTTTCTATTTTTTGCTTTCGTCTTTCAGTTCAGGGGTATCAAATAATGTTGCTGCGGTAACACCACATCATCATTGTCACCTGCTGCTAAATGGATGGAACATTAGAGACAGCTTCAAGTTATTCACTAATTAATACAATCCCTTGAACAATATTGCAGCATGATACAATGCAGTCCTGTTTACTCATTTGCAGAAGGATTTGGCTGCATCTCCAGATTTCAGGCTGGCAATCTCTGGACCCACCATTCAACAATGTCCAAACACAAAATATTTTGTGGTCCAGTTTCAGGTGTTTTTATATTTTTCTCAGTTGAGGACAAAACAAAATAAAAGAATGAGAAAAGAAACAGAACAACATGTAGACTGAGATAACTAAAACTGTGACAAAAACAGTTCAGCACTGTACACGATTATCTACTCCAGCTGACCGAATACAGAACTGTTTTACTAGTTCCTTTAGTTTTGCCCATAGTTCTGTCAGATGTGCCATTTGACAACCACATCTAACTCTCTGATCTTAGAGATGCTTCCCCATCAATACTTGGTCATTTTCAGGGATACAAAAAACAGCCCTTGTGATGCATGAAAGAGATGAAACATGCCTCAACAAAGGATTTCAGTTAAAAGTGGTGATATCACAAAGCATGTGCATTTTTAAGACAGACTAGGGTAGGATGGAAAATGTGCCTGTATTTGCAGGTTCCAGCCCTATTTACCTGATGTGCCTCAGGACACAGATGATACCAGAAATTCACATTGTGAGAAAGTGATCTTAATGTTGTTGTTGGCCATGCCAGCTAAAATGTGTGCTGGAAGTACAGTGCAACTTGGGTCAAATATGGCTCTGATAAATGCAGAAACAATTTCATGGAAATCCATCAGGCAACGTGTTTGCATCAAAGGACAAGTTTGACCCCTTATGGCATTTGCATCTCCTCAGGCACAGGCTTCTGCAGCCACAAGGCAGGAAATGGTGGCACCTGAGCAGCAGAGCCCACTGAATAGCCAGCAGATTTTTGGGAGCTAGGAGTAGGCAGGATGCTTTTCACTTTACCTGTCAAGTTCTGCAGTGCTGCAGCTAATAATCAGGGCTGTCTGCTGTCATTGCACACCCTGGACAAGGAGAATCTGGGGCAGGAAATGATGGTAGCTTTCTGCACACTTTGTACTTGTCTGGTGTTTCTAAGTGTGCTGAGTTGGGACCAAACCTGGTCACATTCCTTCAGTTATCTCAACTGTAGCTTTAACCCTGTACTCCAAATTTGGCTTGGTATTCTGTTCTTTACTTACATTCTGGCTAATCTCATGTGCTGATCCTCTTTTTCTTTAGGAAGAAGAATTGAAGCAGGTAGTAAGTTATTGACTTATTGCAGGCATTACTAACTCCTAAATGTGATGGTGTTCCTGTGATTTATTTTACTTCCTGTATTTGAAATGTGTGCATGTTCTTTTGACCAAAATTAATATTTTGCACTTCTTTCAAACAATAATTTCAAGTATTTTTGAAGCAACTTTTACAATTAAACATCTTAGCACTCTAGAAAGGCTACAAGGAGTCTTGATCTTTTTTCTCACTCCTCTAAATAAAAGCATGTAAGACAGTGAAACCATCACTTAAATGTAGTGAAACCAACATAGAATATTCATTAAAGAAGACTTCTAGCATAGATAACATTTTGAAAATGCAATGAAAATTCTGGAACTTTAAAGAGCTTAAATTAGACCAGGACAATGAGTTTGAAATCCCACCTCATCCAGAAAAATGTTAGGACATGGTGTGCACATCTTTTAAAGTCAGCACTAACAGTCCCATTAGTCTTCAGAAAAATAATGTAGTTTCTAAATGGCTCTACCACCTGAATAAAAAAGGGTAAGTATTTATGTTACCAATGGTAAATTTTAGAAGATTAAATTGTTTTGGACCTTTATAGTATTGAAATGAATCTTGTAAAGATATTAGGGTAAAAAAAAAGAATTTCAGGCAGCAGTTTGATTTATGAGTCAAATAAAAATGTTTCAATTTAACAAAACACACTTCCTTTTACTTTCATCAGCTGAAGTACACTCACAAGTCTGATGTGTTCTATCTATGGTGGAGCATGCAGAGATTGTAGGTAATTCTCCCCATCATAAACCCAACATTTTGGGTAATTTTTGTAGAGCATAAATCTGCTGCACAAAAAAAAAGTGTGTCTGACCAAACATCTCCTCTGTGTAAGGGCTGTCTTTTTGATTCTGCATGACAGTGTTAAAAGATCTTCCATTTCCAAAAGAGAAGTTTCCAATGTGACAGAAGTTTCCCTACCATATAAAATGCTCACTGGAGAGTGTAAGTGAAAGCACATTTTCAGGCTATTATGAGAGATTATTTTTTTGCTTCCGAGAGTAATAGCTTCACTGAACACCAGGTGATGATGCTACGGAATTAACTCTCACCATTTCCATGAAATGATCCCCATTACACTGCCATTCATGATCTGTTGAGAGAAACGGGATTAAATTAATTTCTGGAGGAATTCATTTGGAATGAGCAGTCTGGCAATTAATTTAATGCTTATGAGCTTTCTGTTTCTTTTCTGCCCTTGCCTGAGAAAGGATAATGAGGTTTTCACATCCCTGTCGTTGGATGAGGCTGTGAGACACTTTCCCCATCTGTCATCCCAGTGCAGTTCCGGCAGAGGGAGCGATGGGCTAAAACTCCTGTAACGCCAGCTTTCGTTGCAAGCATTTTATCCTAAGCATGCTTGACACTTGCCAGTGGGAAATCTTTTCCTGTTTAGCAAGGGTTAACTTAAAATCCTTAGCACGTTGACTAGGGATGGTGAATTAAAGAAAATGCATGGAAGTTTTCCTACAAGGCAGGTGGATATTGATAGGCTGCGACCAAGCACAACGTAAAAGCTGAAGCCACCCATTTGTGGTGGCTGGGGTGGTTCCCCTCAGCTAGTGGGGCTGCTGAGGTTTGGGAGCAATTCAGTGCTTGGTTTCTCTGCCGAGATTACCAAGAAGTCACTACTGATGATCACAGCAGGTTTCAGGCCGTTAGCTCTAGCCTGTGAAAACCACATTTCTTCTGAGAGCGAC